GGGGGGGGGGAGAAGGTTCAGATTTTTAGGATCCTCGCCTACCAGTGATCCTGGGAATCTACCAAACCGACCCATGTTTTATGCCCTAGTCCCGGGCAGTTGCATACAGCAGGTGCTCATTAACTGCACGCTGGATGGATCCTTTAATATAAGACACTAACCCGAGCCGGGGGTCTCGGGGGCTCGGAGTACCGGGCCCCACCGGGCCCTGGCCTGGCTGGGAAGTCACCCAGGCCCAGGCGGCTCCCCTGATCCTCGGCCCCGCGCAGCACTCACCGTTGGCGTAGGGAGACCCCGAGGCCGAGGGGGCCCCATTCTGGGCCTGCAGGCCGGTTGGAGGGCCTCCGGAGACCGGTACCCCCGGGTGGGACATGACGACGGGGGGGGGGGTCACCTGGGTGAGAAGCGGGACTGGTCGGGGTCGACCAAGGCGCCCGGCGGAGGGCTGAAAGACGCGGCGGAAAAACCGAGGAGTCCGGGGCGGCACGGGGAGGGAATGGCGCTGAAGACTTTAAGACGGCAGACGAGGGCGGCGCATCAAGCCCGAAGCATGGCGCCCCGCTCTCCCCCACCAGCCCGTCCCCGCCGGCCACCGCCTGGCCTGGGAGCTGAGGTTAGAAAGTCGAGCTGGTGGGGCCGCGAACGCCAGGCTGGGGAGGCGGCAGCCAAAGCCGGGAGAGGAGGGGGGGGAAGGCCCTGACCGGAAGTGCCTGTCAGCCGTCCGCCGCGCAGGCGCAGACGGGACACGTGGCACTTCCGGCTCCGGCTTCCCACTCTCCTCGGTGTTCTTGTCTCTTGGCGGGGCTGACCCCCGAGGCCACCTGACGAGTCCCGACGTCCCGGGCCCCCGAGGACAGTGCACGGACTCCGCCCGCCACGTCACTGATTCCCATCTCTGGCCGGAAGTGGCGTGTGTCACCCCGACGGAAATCCCCGCCGGCCTGGGTGTCACCTGGCGGGCGGAGAGGGGCGGGGTGGGGGGGGGGTGCGGGGAGAGCCGTGCGGACAGACGGACCCGACCGGTCCTCTTCCCGGTCTGCGAGGATCACCTGTCGTCCTGAGTGGAGATGATGCGGCTGACAGGGTGGGGGTGTAACGTGGCCTCGCACGGATTCATTGCACATTTCATCCTCCTATTCCAGCTGCCAGTTGTAAGGAAATTTTTAAACATGTTTACCCCAAGTTCGAGCCGCAGACTTGCAATCCTAGCTACTCTGGAGCCTGAGACCTGGCCTGAAGCCAGCCGAAGACCTCTGTGAGACTCTCAGCTCCAGTTACCCAAACACAATGCCAGATGTGGAGCTGTGGCTCAAGTGGTAGAGCACCAACTTTAATTCAAGCTTCACCCATCACCACCACCACCACACACACAGAGTCTGATGAAATCAAGAAGGAAGCTGTTTGCCTTTTGCTCGGTAATTTTAATTTTGAAACTTGCGTCTTCGTTAAGTACAGAGATGCCAAAGTTCATTTACAGCACAGTTCTCTCCTTCCTCCTCTTCTCCCCTCCTCCCTTGGGTTTAGAACCCAGGGCTTCATGCATGCTAAGCAAGAGCTACACTGCCGAGCCACACCCCAATCCCCAAAGCATTTATTTATCTCCTTATATATTTGTAGTGGCCAGAGCCTCTGAACAGCACATTCCAATGGTATTTGTAATCTAAGAACTTGATGAATGCCTGTAAATTTAGCTACTAGGAAAGCTGGAGTAGGCCAGCCTGGGCAATTTGACTGGACTCTTGTTTCAAAACAGAAATGGATTGGGAATATAACTTAGTGGTAGAATGCTTGCTTAGCAATTGTGAGATCCTGAGTTCATGGTACCACAAAGAAGAAGACAGTATTATTTCCTCTTCTAAGAGTTTACATTAAGGTGAATAATTCCTTGTTTGGCAAGTGGAGTTTTTTGTTTGTTTTTACAAGTAGACTTTGTGATTTTTGAGGCTAAATAAAAGTAGAAACTAGGTAAGGAAACTAACGATCTCAGTAATGATCTTAGTTCCTTTCATTCTACTTAGATTTTTCCTGCTCTGGGCTGATAATAAAGTCCATCATAGATTTATACTGTCAATTAAAATGTCATGCCATAGTTTCACAACCTGTGGGTGAAGTACGTCTTACTAATTCTGTAATATCATATCTGCAATTAACTATTATATTACATATAAAAAGAGCAAGTAAGCAGTGAGAATTCAAATAACCAAATATATCCTAACCCTGTTGTTGTTATCATTTGCCTCAAAACCTTACAAAAGAATATATTTGCTGTGAATGGAATTAAACTTTTTTTATGAGATCCAAATAGAAGGGCTTCTTTAGGCAGAAGATGATATTTTTGGCCACCTTTTTTTTTTAATCTTAGAACATCGATAAGAAAATTCCAGGGCTGGGAAGGTGGCTCAGTGGTAGAGTGCTTACCTTGCATGCATGAGGCCCTGGGTTCGATTCCTCAGCACTACATAAGCAGAAAAAGCTGGAAGTGGCGCTGTGGCTCAAGTGGTAGAGTGCTAGCCTTGAGCTGAAGAGCTGAGGGATGGTGCCCAGGCCCAGAGTTCAAACCCCAAAGCCAAAGGAAAAAAAAGAAAGAAAGAAAATACAAATCACACTGGACTCTGGTGGCTCATGCCTATAATCCTAGCTACTAAGGAGGCTGAGATATGAAGATCATGGTGAATTCAGTCCAGACATGAAAGACCACAAGCCTTTTATCTCCAGTTAAGCACAAAAAAGCCAGAAGTGGAGCTGTGAAGAGCCCTAGCTTTGAGCAAAGAAGCTCAAGGACAGTTCCTAAGCCCTAACTTCAAGCTCCAGGACTGGCACCAAAAGAAAAAGAAAAAAAATCCTAAACCACATATCCAAAAGAACACTTAAGATACACAAAGTCCAGGTGATAGTTGCTTATGCCTGTAATTCTAGCTACTCAGAAGGCTGCGATCTGGAGGATCCCCATTTGAGGACAGCAAATAAAAATAAAAATCTCTAGACTACATCTTCTAAGTAACCAGCAAAAAAGCAAGAACGGCAAAAAAAAAAATAGGATCACTATTCAAACAGCAGTCTGGCCTCAAACTTCCATTATTCCTGAATAATCTTGGTTTGTTGACCTTGGCACAGGGTTTTGATTTGGTTAAATAAAGCTTTCTTTGAACTTCGTTCTGTTTAAGCAATATCTGAAATCTTTGTGCAGAGATTTAAAAAAGTAAATAACCTCTATGAGGCTAAATAATCATCATAATTTGCAAATAAGTAAATTTTTTCCACGCCTGTGTTTCTTTGTTATTATTTCCCCCCAAATACTATGGTTAAGTCTTTGATTTTTTTAATGTTTTCAAGTAACTGGCTTTAAAATATTGAGGAGAGGGGCTGGGAAGGTGGCTCAGTGGTAGAGTGCTTGCCTTGCATGCATGAGGCCCTGGGTTCGATTCCTTAGCACACATAAGCAAAAAGAAAAAAGCCGGAAGTGGCACTGTGGCTCAAATGGTAGAGCGCTAGCCTTGAGCTGAAGAGCTGAGGGACAGCGCCCAGGCCCATAGTTCAGGCCCCATGACCGGACCCCCCCCAAAAAAAAATAACAAAATAAAATATTGAGGAGAAAGATGACATGCATCACTCACTCTCCAGGGTCATGGAAAGGTAAGTTTAAGTAATTGAAGTGTTATCACATACCAAAAAAAGTTATATAGTTATATTAGCTATTACAATATCTAATCCTTTGTTTTCTTAAAATGTGACCATTTAAATAACATGAAAAAATTATTAGTGCTATTGTCAGTTGTTAAAGCTTACTGTATAGCACAAGCCATGCATTGCTGGCTTACATTTATTATTGTAGCTATTCAGGAGGCTGAGCTCTGAGGATAGCAGTTCAAAGCCAGCCCAGGCAGAAAACTCTATAAGATTCTTTATGTCCAATTAACTAGCAAAAAAGCAGTAAGTGAAAGTGTGTCTCAAGTAGTAGGGTGCTAACCTTGAGCAAAAGAGCCAACTGAGAGCCTAAAGCCTTGAGTTCAAGACCCAATATCAGCCCCAAGATAAAATAACTACACATCACACACAAGCCAATAGTGAAAACTGTTTATGTTTACGTAGTTCTTAATTCTATTACTGCCCATTCTGATTAGTTTTCATCATCTTGCACTTGAACTATAGTAGTTTTTCTGGACTTCTTCTTTCCAATCCATACTGCAGATTGAATTTAGCTCCCAAACACTGATTCCATTTTTATTTTCTTATGCTCCCAAACTACACTTACTATCCTTCCTGCTCAGTCAAGCTAGGATACCTCCATATGACTTCTCCTGTGACATGGCCTTGCTACTTTTTTTTTTTTTTTTGG